ATGTGCCATCTTATTTGAAAGCAAGTGACTGGGGACTTTTCCTGATTTCTTTTTCTCATTCTCTTTGATTTTTTATCTCAAATTTAATAAATAACAATGTTTTGGCTTTGTCAGATCAAAACATTTCAATCATTGTTTTCTTCCCAAATGCTTGATTCATCAACAAGAGCTGGAGCACTTTTAATTTTATAAATGCTTTTAATTTTGAATCTTCAATAACAAGCCTTGAATTCATAAGTCATTTTCTTGTCCAGCTTTGGTAATAATTGTGGTCACTGCTCCTAAATCACAAGCTCCTCAGGCATTTCTGTGCCTCCCTGATGTGCTTTGTTTATTTCAATCAAATATAAAACATTTTACAAGCTTCAGGACAAGACAAAGACATTTTTTCAGATGAGCAAAGACTTCAGCACTGGTTTCTCTAACACATGGAACTGAAGATTTTCAGTTGCTGAATTTAAAGGACCAAAGGCTTTAATGTATTTCTCCTTTAACAATGAAAACCACTCAAGAACAGATGTTGGTCATAACCAAAATTAGAGCAATTCACTTCAAAATAGAGAGACTAATATTACACTCAAAGGAACTGATTACTGTAATAGTTCTGGTGAGGTGATCATAGGAGAAAAGATCTTTCTTACACTCTGATTGACTTTCTTCCTTCTCATTCTGGTTTTCATTTTGGTGAAAAATGTAGCAAAGACAAGAAGTTCAGCATTTCCTGTGATAGTGTGTTAGCCATGACAGAGAGAACAAAAGCCAGTGCTGTAACAACAGCAACAAAAAGATGACCCAGCTGAAGAAGTTGAAAGGGTATTATAAGTAAAAAGGCTGATATGGCTCAGCTAAGATGACGGAAAACAATGTGAGCTTTCTAAAGTTATGTATAGAAAAGTAATAAAGCAGGACAAAAAAAAAAAGGAATTTGAGGAACAACTTAAAAAACATCAAACTTACTAATTATCTTTTTTTCAAATACAAAAGTAGTAGAGAGCTTGCCAGAAAGTCTGTAGGGGCAAAGGATGATGTAGATACAAAAGAAGCATTCAGGGATAATAAAGGGATAGCATGAAAGTTAAGTATATTAGTTTAAATTTTCATTCACAGAAGAGGAGCGTAAGAGGTTTCAGTGCTAGAATTTTTCTTTGCGATGATGGAGAATCTCTCTCAAAATGAAGTGTTGGCACAAAGGAAAAATAAAATAATAGAGCAAACCAAAATGATGAAGAAGTTGGCTAGATAGGATAGCTCACAAAGTATGGACGTTATTCAAGAGTGAAATAAATGAGCTATTAACCGTAGCATGTAACATCTTGTTTCAAAACTGCTTTAGTGGCCAAGAAACAAAAGTTGGCAAATGTGATGACAGTGTTTAAAAACTGTTTAAAAACACTTCCAGGGAAGATTTAGAGGATTACAAAAAGTTTGAGCCTCAAATTGGAGAAGCTTGTAAAAACAGCAGTGAGGAACAGAATTAGCAGATACAGTGCATTAATATGATATGCCATGAGAGCAGTGCATTCCTCACAAATGGATTCGAGTTACGCTGAGGGAGCCAGAGAGCATGGGAGCAGGGCTGGCCTGCTTGTTATTGTCTGCTTGAGTTCCAGACAGCATTTGGTGAAGTCCCACAGTAAAGGCACATAAAGGGTCTGTGTTACCATGGAGTAAGAATGGAGGAATTCACATGAATAAAGAATTGATTAAGATACATGAGCCAGAAGTTAAAGTGTCCAGTTTTCTCAATTGCTGAAATAATTTTTAATGTTCATAATCTGGAAAACAGATTTAAGCTGCTAAAGAGAGCATCTGAAACTAGTAGACGGAAGGACTTAAGAGGCTCAATGACTCAAGAATAAAGCTGTACTAAATTCAGCATAGTTAAATGTAACTGACAGAATGAGGGGCCCTGAACTAGCTATTGCTACTCAGAAGCAAGGTCTTGGAGCTTTACAGTTTTGAATGCAGTGATCATTGGTAGCTGTAAAACTAGGAAGAGGTTAGATAGAGACCAGAGATGAAATTATCATTACAGCATTGTAAAATTCCATGTATGTTCATGTCTTAAACACTTCACGCTGCTCTGTTCTCTGCAGATCAAGCAGGGTATAAGAAAACAAAGTTCAGAGATAGGTGGTGAGGATGCTACAAAGGGTTAGAATTGTTTCTATATGAGGAACAGCTAAATAAACTGTGTCTTCAGCCTGGAGAAGGGGTGACAGAGCAGAATTCAAAGCCAGAATGATGAACACCATGGAGGCAGGAGCAATTTGTCACTCTTTCTGGAAGTACAGAAGTTAAGGAGAATGAAATGAAACCAGCAGGTTACAGGTTCTAAGTGCACAAAGGGTATTTCTTCACACAAAGCACAGTTAAGGTGTGAAATTTCTTGCTGGCAGCGTATTGTGTGTATGTCAAAAATTTACACAGTTGTAATCAAAACCCAAGTGCATGAATGGGTGGAAGAAAAGTACAGGAAAAACTGTTAAATACAATGACTGCATCTGACAGAGGCACTTCTGGTGCTGGGAAGGTGTCCTGAGTAAATGCCAGTGTACGCTTGCCTGGTTATACACCTATTACTGTGTCCCATTGGAAAGAGTTACGAGGCTAGGTGGACCCTCAGCTGGAGCTCAGCTTTTAACTTCTTCACTTTCCTTACTGTAGATTCTGTAATTTAAGCCTAAAATCCCATTTCTGGGATCCCAGCCCTGAACTCAGGAACTCAACCTAAGACTTGAGTCAAGCTGGGAGCCCAGAAAAAAGCAAAGGACCAGCCCTGCGCCTGCTCACTGTGGCTTTAGGATTTAATTCCTCAGCTGGGCTCCCCGGGTTTGGGGATCCACAGGTCAGGGCATCCCAGTGGGGAGCACTGCCTCTGACCTGGCTTCTCCCAGCCACAGCTGAGCTGAGCAACCTGGAAGAAGTCCATTCTACATGTGCCCTTCTAGCCACACTTCAGCTGGGGAGCTATTGCTAGAAATGTGTTGAAGTGAGCCAAGGCACAGTCAGCGCTGTGTATCTGTGGAGCTCAGGGAATCAATAACTGAACAGCTCTTGGAGTATTTTTCTAGCTCAAGTGACATTTCTACCCAGAGCCAGACAACCCAAGTGGAGCTAGCTGTCACCTCCTGCTTCCCAAGCACACCTCCAGCAACCTCTGCACCTGCACGGAGCAGCCATTCTTACTGCCCTGGCTCAGGACATTGAACCCGCAGGGACAGGGAGAGGGGACAGGGTGAAGGAGGCACTCACGTGTGGCAGCAGCACACAGCACTGCTTCGGCCAGGAGCAGGAATCCGAGGTGTCGGCGAGCACCGCTCATGGTGCTGGAGCCCCTGCGTCAGCTCAGGGGAGCAGAGAGTGCCGGTGCCTGCACACGGTAACTCCTCCGGTCCCCACTGAGAAGTGAGACTGAAGTTTCCCCACTGCTCTGCTTTCTGATTAAATGAAGGGCCCCGGGACTCATCATGTGATGGAATTAAGCAGAGATGCATGATTTTGGATTCAGCTTCTTTCGGCTCATGTGCTTATGACTCACTCCTTTTGCTTTCAGCATTCCCTGGGATTTCTGAGAGACCTGTTTGGAGCCACACCATTTACCTTGCGGGCATTTTTATACTGGTTTTGCACTATGATCAATTTTTGTACTTAATTTGTTTTTAAATTAGGAACACTTATTTCCAGAAATCCAAATTAACTCTTGCCCCAGCTTGATTTGCAAGCATTACAGCAACAGCTCACTGCATTTGCTGGACCCATCACTACTTAACCTTGTGTCTCTCCCCACATCCTGGGGAACAGCTGTAGACTAAATGGAGATGGGCCAATTCTAACACATCTCTGGCCTTGGCTCCTGATGAGAGTTGATTGTAAAGGAAAATGTTATTTAGACATTTAGCGGGCACATGCATGCACCGTTTAACAACAGCTGCACAATACAATGTGTGAGGTGCGATCACAGACCATATGCAGTGATGGCCAGTCAATATCTAGCTCACAAGTTGCTATGACCTATACACAGACAAGTACTTCATTGTATTTATTTCATGGTGTGCTGAGATTACAGGAAAAGCAGACTTTGCTGCCCAAGCTAGTAACAAAGTACAACCGATGGCTCAAGAGGAATAGCATAATACAGGCAGATTTGCAAACACTACACTTAATGGCTCAAATTCAGGTTCCCCATGCTTCACCAGCCCAGGTGTTCTCTTGCAGACAGTGCAGCAACTCAATTTTGTGCAGCCCTGGCAACCTTGTGAGGTTTCTTCCTTCTGTTTGTAGCAAAGAACAAGCTTTGGTGAGACAACATGGCACGGAAACAAGTATGGAGTTCAGTAGTGTTTTCAGTGATGCCAAAGTATAGCACTGGCAAGTGAGACATTGGCTAGCCAGAAAGCAACAAGTTGGGCAACACTAAAACAGTTTTGTTTTGGGCAGGGCCAGTGGAAGTCTCTAAGTCCAAGTCACTTTCAACGCAATGAAGGCATTTCCCAGTGGAAGGAGGTTTCAGAACTGAGACTACTCACTATTTTTGGGTTTATTTGTTCTTAGTTCCTTCCATTTTTCTACAATTTGCTATTGGTTAGCTGGTTTTGTCATTACTCAGGGCACCCCAGCCAGTATTTTGCTCAGTAACTCAGGCTCTGATGTACACTCGTGCAATCTTACGTACATAGACTCTGTGCTTCAGCACCCTCCTGGCTGGAGCCAATCTTCCCTCATCTGCCAGCCAAGGAAAAGGGTGAAGGCAATAGCCTTAGGGATACCAAGCTTGTTTGAACTAAGTCCTCGTTATCTGGCAGAAAGGAGAGGGAGCATAAATCAAAGTCTGTGACTGATTATGCAAAAAAAAAAAAAGAGTGCAGCATCCTCATGTGATTGTTGCTTTTTTTATTCAATCAACTGTATTCCCAGCTGACACGTCAGGCTTCTGAACCATTCACAATTATTTTTTAAACCATGTAGGACGTTAACGTCTTGCACTCCTTTGTTTCCAGGTTGTTGATCCTAGAAACGAAAAGTGACCTTCAAACAGTGTGCTTCAGCACTGGGGTCCTGATCCAAAGTCTGCTGTAGAGAAAAGAGGTTTGAATGCCCATTCCCACCAGGGTTTTGAGGACCTCCAGAGGAAAACTGCTCACAACAAATGCCTGTTAATTAAAAAGATTATCAGCCTAAAAACAATAACGTTGGTTAGGATGGAATTCTTCGCCATGTCATTTGAGACATGAAATTGTTACTTGAAGCACTGAGTGACGCTCTCAATAAGGGCCAGCTGGTGGAAATTACTAAACATGTTGTAAATAGACTTTGGAGGCACTGAGGATCAGGCCTGTGGTTAGAGGAATCAAAACCCACCCGGGCTGGGGTAATGACTAAAAGGTGGCCATGCTGTGACACTCCTGTCCATCCCTTCTTCCTCCTCAGCTCATGCGCCTTAGACTACACATTCCTGAAGGGCTGACACGGGAAATGGTTGGATTCTCTTGTGCTGTGGCTGCAGCAGACACTGTCAGCAAGAAAAGAGGGGAGGAGAATGCCAGATAAGAAGGGAAGAAAGAGGAAGGAGAAACAGAGGTGTAAAAGGAGTGAAGAGAAGAATAAAAAAGCCAAGGAAAAGTATGAGAAGAGAAGGCTGAAGGTACCATCTGAAAACTGAGCTGATTTCTCCAAGTGTCTCAGCCGTAGCTATGAAAATGAGTCCACCTGAAACACTGAGGAGTTGCTTCAAATCAGTTGATCATCACCAGCTCTTAAATTAACTTTATAGCTTTTACATCATTATTCTTGGTCTCTGAGAAACAGCTTTGCAGATAAAGCAACTGAACTGAATTGTGCAGCTGTAAAAGAGAAAAGATTTAAATTATAGCCTAAATATTCTCCCAGCAAAGAAGAACACATTCAGAGAGATTTAGGGCTTAATCTGACAAAGAAGTGGGTGGGTAGGAGGTGCTTGGTACTTCACAGCTTTAGCACCTCAGTTATTAAAACTCATTGAGGAGATATACATCTCTGCTACCTGAAGGCCTGTCAGATGACAGGGTGTGAACACATCATGTGTACCTGCATGTCTAGACTGTGACAGAGCTGGCATGCTCGCACTGCTATCACACTGCCATCAACATTAGTACAGGAATTGTTAATCACTGCTCACAGAAACCTTAAAATCAAGGGGATAAAAAAAAAAAGGGGGGGATTTGAAGGATGAACTTGGCTTTTGGCCAAACCAGCAAAGGAAAACGAGACAATCTTGTTCTGGCAACCAGCTACTTTAAGTAAATGCTGTCTGCCATGACCAGTGGTCTCTTGAGGGAACTCTGCTTGAGGCTGAACAAATCCCTTTCTGGGAAGAAATCATCTGTGTCTCGCATCACACAGGGCATTGGCCATCAGCTGACTGAACTGAACATGTAAACAAAGCTGTGCTGGCAGTCAGGAGTCTTGCTTGTTATACAGGGGAAAAAAAGCTCTGCAAAAGCTCATGATCCATTTATGGCACCATCCAGGTCAGTTTGTCACTGAAAAATGAATTAACTATGGACAATCAGGCTTTTAGTAACTCCAGCATCTTCATTTTTTTGCTTTTGTGGTAGCTGAAGGCAGGCATTTTACCATTTTTTTATGGCAAGATACTTCCTTGCAGTCACACTTCTCCAAATTCCTGTGCTGGTGCTGATGTTTTCCAAACTTAGTACTTGACCACAGCATAGGATCACAGCGTGACCACAGCATGAGGAGCAGCTGAAGGAACTGCGGTTGAGCCTGACTGAAGGGAGGCTGAGGGGACACCTAACCTCTCTCTACAACTATAAGAAAGGAGGTTGTAGTGAGGTGAATGTTGGTCTCTTATCACAAGTACTAGGATGAGAGGAAATGTCCTCAGATTGCACCCGTGGAGGTTTACATTGGATATTAGGAAAAATTTCATCACCAGAAAGGTTGTCAAGCACTGGAACAGGCTGCCCTGAAAAGGGGTTGAGTCACCATCCCTGGAGGTATTTAAGAGGCGTAGATGTGGCACTTAAGGACATGCTTTAGTGGTGGACTTGGTGTTGCTAGGTTAATGGTTGGACTCAAAAGCCATTTTTGGCCTGAATTTCCTCTGTAGGGAAGGGTCAGATCAGCACGCCAGCTCCCTGCCTTTTCAGGAGTGCCTCTCTGTTGGTCTATCCCTATGAATGCTAAACTCACAACACAGTCCCAGCCATGTGTGTGACAGTGCCCCGAAACTCCTCATGAAAGCAGCTTGTGGGGAAGGGAGGGGAACCCAAGAAACCTCTGCAGTGCTTTGACATCAGCAATCCTCACAAGAGCTCAGCCTTGAGATACAGACCCACAGAGGACCCCAGTCCAATCATCCAACACAGGTGGAGTGGTCTTCTCTGCCATGGAAGTTCTTACTAATCTGTGCAGATGACCAGCAGCTGAAGACAAGACGTAATGACAGATACTGACCCTCTAGACCGCATCACACATCTGTTTTTAAAGGTGTGTGAACAAAGTGAGTTTATTCAGTGTCTCTAGGCACGTTTGTTTGGAGTTTTTTGACTATGGTGTCAGTGCAAGGAGGAGTGTAGCTATCCTGGTAGTCCCAGCACACTGCTGCCTTAGCCCATGGTCTCCTAAAGACCCCTGTAAGCTTCTGTCATGCTCTGTGTGCACCTCAGCTGACCCACTTTTGGTTTGGAAGCTGCCACTGTTCCTTTACAAAGTCTGGACATTGGGTTTACTGTACTACTTATCTCATGCTGATTTGATGAACTGTTAGCTACATGGTTTATATTCAAAATGATTCATCAAGGCCCAGTCCTCATCCAATCAAGAGAGCAGATAATTGCTGTGAAAGTGCATGAATATGACTGTGTGAGACCCATATTTTATATCATATTATAATGAAATCCATTCAGGCCTCTCTATTGCTCAGAGAGGATTTAGAAGACAGATTTTGTATCATTTGGCTCAAGAGAGAGCAACCAAATCATTGCTGAAAAGCTCTGATTTCTCTAAAGACATTAATTGCTATTCTGGCTAAGAAAAAGTAATTCAGGATCAATGAAACCAGCAAAACCCAACCAGAAAGGTGATGGTTCAAAGGAAATACACTTAACAAGAACATCTGACTGTGTAGTCATTGGGAGGACAGTGAAGGACACAGTCTCACAGCCAGTCTGCTCCTTTAAAGCTTTTCTAAGAAACAATATAAACTGAATGTACTCAGTTCTGCCTTATTCCCTGTATATGCTGTGTTTCAGTTATTATGGGCTGCGGATGAGAGTTCAGCACAGAAGCTCAGTTATTTTACTGTCCAGCGAAATTGCCTTGGCTGCTCAAGAAATCACCTCAGCACTTCCCTGAAATAGGAGTCAGAATAAATGAAAATGCTGGCAGCTGAACCTCAGCATAACTTACTCTTTCATGTGTTAACAGTGAGACTATGGGCAGAATTCTGCTTGGCTTTTTTTTTTTTTGACTGTATTCCCACTGATTCACAGCATTAATTCAGACAGTAACCTTTTCTTTAGTGGCTAGACCCAGCAGTGAACATACAGGCAATGGAGAGGGGGCAATAAAGATGAATGCATTATGTAGTGATCAGCTTTCTGTCTAGAATCCCAGTTAAATAATAACATTTATGGCATAAAAAAAAGGCAAACTCTGAGCAAGCAGAGCTGTTGTGTTCCAAGTGATGTGTTGCGCTCACACTAGGACTGAAATCCACCTGAATCTTCCTCCTGTGGCTTATTTGAGAGCCTGGAGGTAAACTGAAGGAGAAAGGGCAGGTAGGTTTTGGTGTGGGTTGGGTTTTTCCAGGTTTGCCTGCTGGCACTTGCACGGAGCAGTCACGGCTTGGTGGGACTGTGCATTAACCAGTGAGGCACAGGAGGAGCACTCTGGTTGTGCCGCAACTTGCCCGTACCCATGTGCATGCACGCAGCACCACATCAACTCATCTTCAGCTGCTGCAGAGCAGTGATGGCAGGATCAGGCCCTTACATTGCGATACAGCACTGACAGGACAGGGGAGGAAGACCAGGCTAGTAATGCAGCCCCAGATCAGCATGGGTTACTGCCCCGGAGGGGCTCCTGCTTGCAAAACATGAACAGGAACTGCTGGTTTTCTTCACTGGGGGAAAAGTGTGTTTTTAATGCCTTGTTCTCAAATGCATTACATAATAATCTCTAACAATTCTGTTCATGTGGCCAAGGAAATACATAATTACATACATTAAATATATAGGAGTTAGTCTTCTGAGTTTATTTATAACCTTTATTTATATTCTCTGTGATAGGAGCAGTAGATTTGCAGTGATTCTGTTTTAAATCTCCATTGCAATATGGATATTTTATTTCAACTTTCTTTGCCAGTGCTGGAAAACCTAACATGACTTTATTGTGCTACTTTACAAGAACCAAAAAATTGATTTAATACAGCAGCCTACTTGCAATCCCTGGCTTAAGTGAAATTCTAAGGGTAAAATCTCTCTGTCTAGCATGCGTAATGCCCTGATCACCGGAGCTATGAGCTCTGCATGGGAAATACTGTATGACTTGATAACAATCATTACAGAAAATGTGTGTGCATCGCTTAACAGAAAAATCTGGTTCTTAGAGCTGTAGTTTAAATTCTCTCTCCTAAAAGAGCAAAATAGCTTAACAAATCTTCCCTCAGCCATGCTGCTCACTTGCTGCTGGTTTCTCAGAGCACTACTGTTCATCAGTGTGCTGGAAGAAAGAGAAAGCAGTTCCATGCCTAACACGAGGGGTTACATTTTCACTGCAAAAGGTTCAGTTCTGCTGCATGTGGAAGGAAGTTGAATAGTTCTAAAAAATAATTCAGATCCAATGTAAGATAGTTGCAGTTCTTCTCAGTAAAGGACATTATCACAGAATCACAGCATCATATCCAATTATATCGTTATACCCAATTTGAATACTATGAATGTAACCCTGTACTCTTAAGTGTCTGATATCAAAGTATAAAAGAATGGAATAGTCCTGAAAAGAAAATAAAGAAATGAGAAGCAGAAGTGAAGAGGAAGGAAATGGATTGTACATTCAGGTCTCAATAAATTCCCACTGATTTGTCATCCTACAGTTGTCATGAGTGGTATTCAGATAAAGGCAAAAAAAATATGGTTTTATGAAATGAGAATAAAAAGATAAAATTAAAATAGAGATAATTTGATCTCTTAGTTACCAATTGATTGCTACATTTCCAAGCACCTAGTTCTTCCATTATTACACAATAAAAAAGAACTTTCGACAAGAAAAACTAGTTATTGAATGGAGCTTTGTAGAATGAAAAATAAAAACATAAAAATTGGCATTTGATTTGCTAAGACATAGATGCCAAGGAAGCTCAAGGTGTAAATCATTCTTTACTGACCAGTGTTCTTAACAGTTCAACTTCTGGGGATGTGCTCATAACAAATATAAACTACATTAGATGGGTGCTGAGCACAGACGTATTACTAATACATTTCCATGTACTTGAACTATATTTGAATAAAGAAGTTTAATCAAGATGTTGACAGATGGAAAGAAAGGTAGTATACAGCCCTGATGGCTATACTTATTTTATTTAGAATATAACGAGAAGTCAGAACTTCTTTACCTTGTCATGGTGTTTGTTGATGAAATCCAAAAGTCTGAAGCTGGGAGCTGAGTGGATGAAGCTGCTTACCTGTTGTGGCAGCTGGATTACTGCATTTCACCCCGATACCCATTTATGTGCCCCTGCCCTTCTGTACCCCTACACTTCCCCTTGGTACATACAAATGTTTACATTTTTAGAAAGAAGTAATCTAGTGAGCACTAAACTCAGCTGGAGGTCACTGATCAGTGAAAATAAGAGAATGAACCTGATGGTGACAACACCGTCTGATGCTATTAGCCTGGGTGATGCTGCTGCTTGGCAGTGGGTTCAGAAGAGTAAACAGCATCACTGAAGCACTGTGCCACTGGGCTGGAGCACTGGCGGCAGCAGCAGCCACTTTTCAGACCGGTATTTTGCATGGATATGGTTTCCACCAATACCTCAGAAGAAATCCAGCTCTGGGTTACAGTGATGTCTTTAACTGTACAGAACTGTCTCGTTAAACCCCAGCTGAACCATCAGAACACTGAGATCAGTTTGTTTGCTTTAATTTTTTGCTTGTGTCTTAACACGTAGCACAGAAGTGACGTAGGATGCAGATCTCCCTGCTGAGTGGAGCAAGTCAAGAAGCTTCATAGTTAATGCCCAGGGCCATGTGGCTGAGGAGAGAAGGTAGGGAGACTTCTCAGAAAGAAAATGCTAGAGACATTGCTAGTGTCTGGAGGTGCCTTGCAGAGGGTCTGTGAGCCATGGTTCTTCATCATCCTCTCCATCTTGGCTGTCCAAACAGTGAGAGGGAACGCATGATGAGTTGGGGTGTTTAAACATCTGCGGCTGGGAAAAAGGTGTATGAATATGAACAAGGAAACTCCACTGCCACTCTCTGGGTAAACAACTTTGCTTTCTACAAGTAAGGGAGGAAAATCAAGAGGAGGAAGGGTAACACTTGTAGCAAAATGAGGGCTGCAAGAAAAACAATACTTAAAAATACCACACAGCTGCATATATAATTATCATTAACCACCATCAGTGCTCTGCCTGCTGCACTGAGGAATGGCAGTGTGTTCCTGACCCCATACATCCCCCCAGTGCCTCTAATACCCTGTTAAGGACTCATGCTCGCAGTGATTAAAAACGTTTGAAGGCAACCTTGATTTATTTCTTTAATTCATATGAAATAGGAAGGTTCTGAGAGAAAGTGATCAAAGATGACATTCTGGTTCAGTGGAGCAGCCCACCAAAACATCATAAGCCAGCCCCCCTTCCTGCTGAATAACCCAGCATGGTCTTCCCAGGAGCTAATACAGTCTCTTCCTGGGATGGACACTTCACTGACAACTGCTCCTCCATTTAAGCAGCTAAAAATGTTTCTGGCTATCTAAATTCAGTGGAAAACTGCATGAAAATTGCAAAGTATTTAATTAAGAATTCGGTGCCATATCTTCAAGGCTCTTAGAATTACAATAACCATAAATAAAACATGTAAGGAACAAACTACATTATGAAAATTTTTAATTCAAATGTAGCATGGCTTAAGGATGCTATTTGAGTATCTTGAAAGGCACAGCGAGGATGTTTACACTCTTCCATAGTCACATGCTTCAAGCATCAGTTGACAGTTGTCGGAAAGCTTCAAAATGGTGTGTTCACAAAGGTAGGAGTCAAAAGCCCCAGAAAATACAGTCTACTTGGAATTTTGGCTCAAATTACAGAACCTGCCCCTTCATCACAACTCTGTTCTGAAAGCAGAGGGATGTACAGACTCTTGCTTATCTGTAACTTGTTTTACAGTTCCCATTCCTGTGGTATTTGAATGCTTTTCATGGGTTTTCAGATCACACAGAACTGTGCCTTATAATGTATTTAAAACAGAAGTGATTTTTAAATAATAATAATAAAAGTTTCAGGTTATTTGCAACAGAAGAAAGGTGATTTCCTCTTGGGTGGTGTTATGGGGAGCTTTGAGATGGCTTCTCCTTAAAACAAGTATCTTTGACACACAAAAAAGTCTTTGGCTTTCAAGAGCGACATCTGGTTAGAACACAAATGAGAACTATTCACTATTTAAATCAGAGCAAATATAGACTAAGAGAAAGCAGGCAGTTTAAAAGAGACTCCATCCCTACTCACTGCATTCTTGTCGGATGGGTTCTTTTGTTATGCCTCAGTCTAGGGCCATTTCATGGTCTGTAGTAATGTCTGTAATGGTCTGTTTCCTAGTAGTGGCCTTTGATTAAGTTCCCTTCTGAATCCTAATTCCTTCAGTGTTTAAGTCAGTCCTCTAATGCTTTTGCAGAAGGTTCTGAGGAGGAAGAGATAGGGACAAGTTTTTTGCTAATGATAATTTACAGCAATAGTGCTGAGAGCAGGCAGCTCTGTGCTTCAAGAGATAACACAGCCTTGAGGGAGAGCTTTTAAATGCAGTTCAAAAATTGCTGGCCTGGGACAGTCTGGGAGGCCAGAGGGTATCATCAGCACCAAGCAGCCATTCACTCACCACCCTTCTTCCCCCTCCCCTCCAGGATGGGGAGGAGAACTGAAAGAATGTAAACTCCATGGGTTAAGAACAGTCCAATAACTAAAGTATAATATAAAACTACTACTAATAATAATAATAACTATAAGGGAAATAACAACGGGAGAGAATATAAAACTAAAAGGGAAAGGGAAAAACCAATAAACATAAGTGATGCACAATACAGTTGCTCATCACCTGCTGACCTATACCCAGCCCAACCCCAGCAGTGATCTGGGCCTTCTGGGTGACTCCCCTCAGTTTATATACTGGGCATGACGTGCTCTGCTTTTGGCTGCTTTGGGTCAGATGTCCTAGTTCTGCTTCCTCATGGCTTCCCATGCCCCTCCTCACTGGCAGAGCATGAGACTGGAAAGTCTTTTATCAGGGTAAGCACTACTGAGCATCAGTGTGTTATCAGCACACAACTAAAACATCAGTGTGTTATCAGCATTGTTCCCAGGCTAAAG